CAGATTACATGATGAATACGTTCTTTCGCTTTCTAATGAGGCAATGAATTAGTACCTCGTCTCCTGTGCAGGCTGTACAAGCGGACAGGACGACAAATTTAGTGCTTCTGAGACGGAACGGGCATACGTGTGGAATTGTGTCTAAAATCGTGAGTGGGTCGATTTGTGCCTGTTCGCCTTCTTTGTCAGGATCGGCTTCATGGAAATGAAGGTTGTTCAGCAATGACTCTCTAAACGTTGAGTACGGTGCCCTCATCTGGCCATCGTCAGAATTCATGTGGAACGCGTGGTGCACTTCTTTTCCATTAAAACCGACGACCACGTAGCGAATGTCGTATCCCCGCCTGGCTACTTGGCTCTCCAGCGTCTGAAACATGCGGCATGCGACAAGTTGCGAAAAAAGCATGGTCCTCAAACTCATGCATCACTCACCTGCGCGATTCGATCGAGTTCCGCCGGCACATCTGACATGCAACTTCTCTCCTCCACGGCGAACACCACGTCGATCACGTTAGAATGCTGGTCGAACTTCAAGCTTTCTTCTGCTTTCAAAGCCGGGTGGTTTGGCACAACGCATTTCACTAAATCATTGCTGTGAGAGTGAATGATGGAGCATATATTTTATGATTACGTGGCTAGCAATAAGAAGAGCAAAAAGAACAATATTTATTCAACAGTAATGCAACATTTCGACTGAAAGATAGATTTTAGCACTTGTTCGATTTCCCCAGTCAGCAGAGGAATTCCTCAACGTGAGGTGGCTTCTTCATTGCTCCTCATCATTGCGCACCGTTTAATGTCGTAAAGCCTGGAACTAAGGAATAACGACGGACTGGACTGTCTTTCAGCTCACGAGGCTACTCAAAATTCCCGCCCGTATTTATAACAAAGCTTAAGTAAGCCGATGATGTTATGCAGCTGATCTTAACAAATCGCTTAACGATATTCACTGAAAGCGTATACAACACGGCTGTGAAAATTGGGCTATAACTCAACGCCGAAAGATGGATACAAGAAAAGTGCCTGCCTCAATTGTCGGTCTGAGGATGTTACAAAACGATGTTACGAAAGAAGAGGTGAACCTTTCAAAATGCCACATAAAGTACGTTGACTAATGATAGAGTCATTAAGGCCGAAGTGGATGAAAGCAATGATTTGGCATTTGGCAAGCTGCATGAAATACGAACGCACCAAACTGTTCGATGACCAGCATCATGGAAGCAAGCGTACTCGCAGTGGTCACGAAATGGCTGAAAACATAAGGAAACTCGAATATTTCTTGAAAATTCTTTGCTCAGTTGACAACAGAATGTAAATGTGGACTATTTTTGCAAAGTCTGTGATGCAGGCCCAACAGTGGTCAGTTATTCAGCAATTTGATGCTTTAAACGGACGACTAGATGATTTTCGAGCATGAAAGGGCGCAGGCAATATACCACTCAGTTCCATGGAACTTCATAGGATTTTAGGGATACTAGTTGACTGATAAACTGTCCATTACGTATTGAGGCACTTCGCATACCGTGAGACCTCAAAGGTACTGCCAAAAATGAGTAACAACTACGAAAAGTAATCATTATCGCAGAGGCAATGAAAGCGGCGTCCAAAATGCTTCCTTGATACTTCTGTATTTATAGTCACCGCTGTTTTATAACTGTATATGTTGTTTTTAGGCGGTACCATAGCGAAAGCTGCAGGGAAAGCCGCTGGAAAGTTCACGTGGAACCCGGATTGCTCCAGTATATAATTATCTGAGCATTATGTATTAACCATGGAAGAGGAAGAAATTTGCATTATGTCGCTTTTGGATGTGGCAGTGAAACTTCACAACCACTAGAGACATTCGACCGTAATGCGTCACCATGAGACGCGTGGATCAGTGTCAAATAATTCTCTTGAAATCTTTTGAAGCTCTTATAACTTTCTCAGTGTTGTCCGGCTAATCATTCTACACATCCTATTTTCGAAATCCGGTTTGATATACCAACCGATGTAAAAATTTATTACGCACTTCGTAACGGTACAAACTACAGCATTGTCGACTAAAGTTACCGTACCTTTCTACAGTATAAGGTAATGTCAAATCGATCTTCAGGTTTAGCAGTGTTATTAAACTTCACTATGCCCCAAGAGCATCGTTGTCTACAGCAGCTCGATATTTGATTACTTCAAAGGAGGAGAATTGCTGCTAGCATATGATAAAAATAGAATTCGTTGTAACCGGCGACAACTTATTAATGAACTCCAGCTGGTCGTGTCTGGTATAAGTTTGCGCAAACTATTTTTCATATGAAACGCAGCGTCCCGATGAATTCGCCAGCTGGCGCCGTTTTGGCAGTTTATTAAATGAAGAAACCACAAGCCAAAGCAGCCAAATCTTTACCACTATTAATCAAGCCACCTTGTCAATCCAGAATTGTTTGCGACATCCATCCTCTGACGAATCCAACAAAGGAAACCCTGTTTCAAATTTTAAACCGAAAATGACGGTGACCTCGGATTTCTTGACGCTCTGGTCAACAGGAAGTTTTGGCTGATTGGACGGGGTCTATGGCAATTAGCCACAGAAAAAAAACATATAAACAACTCCGAGGTTGTCAGAACCGCATAATAAACCTTTTGTCATTGTATGACATGCTGCGATCAAGCATCGACCAAGCAGAACACTGACTCTTGTGAAAAAATGGAAGATTTTCAGAGAAACAATTATCTGTTATGTGATAAGCGAAAAATGCGTTGCTGATGCTCAAGCAGCTGCGTCATTCGTGACCCTGGACAGATCTCAGGGACACTTGGACCCAAGGCAATCAAGCAGACGCTAAAGATTTATTACAACCGCGATGCATGGCCAGAGGAATCATCTATCCGCTTGAGATTTGTCACAGAATCTGTACTAAATTCTAATTTACCGAAAATAAAAAAGGTGCTGCCCGCAATCATTCAGTGTGTTCATATTTTCATGCAGGTGTTCATCACTGATGCGTACATTAAATGGTGGAAATTATTTATGAAACTGAACTGTGCCTACCACACATGTCTGGAAGGGGAATATTTAGTCCTCGTATTTTGCACATTGCCACATAAACAGCCGCTACGTTGCAGACAGTGACGTTGAAGTTGTCTGTGGATGTGGATGCAGCGCGATGTCTGCCGCTTGACAGGCATGTCTTCAGGTAAGGAGCCGGATCAACGATGGCGAAGCACGGACGGAGAGAAGACCAGCGATCTTCGAAAAAATTGCTGCATTTGTTAGTCAGTTCTTTGGGTGTCGTTGTTGCCGGCTGCGGGGCGACGTTCATGGCGCTGGAGCAGCGCTGATTGGTGCTCCACTGGCTGGCAAAGTCTGTGAGATGGCTCGCCTTCCTGCCATCGGGGCTCGACAGGTCGTTGGACGGCTCGAAGTCGTTGATTCCAAAGAGTCCTACAATTAAGTACATTTCAGTAAACACGGTTCGAAGCCAGTAGCACGCTCAAGGCTACCAGCTGATCTTCCATGGAACCTTCCGGGTAGGATCAGCGTGCAGAAATTGCTGTTGAAACAACAAATCAAGCGGATGTGATCCGCGGTAGTGACCAATACGCTGTTCTGCGTCGGTCGGGTGACGGTCAGTTCAGCCGTGTCCAGCAGATCGGCCACCGTCTGCCACGGCAGCGCGTATTGTCGACCATTTATGAGCACCTGTCAGGTTACAGACGTATATTTAGGAATGCGTCTTTAATTGGACTAAGTCTACTACCTTCCCATCGCTAAGTACTTCAACCTTGTTCTTCATATACTCGAAGACGATCGACCTTCGCTCCACGTCCCCGCGCGAGCTCCTTTCGTAGTCGATCGAAACGGTGAACGTGTTTTCCTCAAAATCCCTTGCCAACAAATATGAACATTCGCCTGCAAAGTCGTAGGCGTGATTGTCGAACGTGATGAAATGGTGATCGCCCACGATGACGGCAGAACCTATATCGTATTTGCCGAGAGTGAAAATACGCAAACACTGCGCGTTCAAGTGAGGACACGACTTACTAGTGTGCGCCGGGAACAACGAGGTTTCGGAAATGATCCGTTCTGTCCATATCGGTTCATTGATGAAGCGTTCAAGACGTTCATATTGTTCCATCAACTCCATCTTTAAGCTTTCTATCAGTTTTTGAAATTCCTCTGGATCAAAGAGACTAAAGATTTCACGCAGGCTCTCGTATCTCGACGGTACCGGTATTTCAATGTCAAAGACACCGCGACTCGCGTTTTCCTTCTGAAAATGTATTTATCAAATAACAAACATTAATATCATTAATTAAATAAACTTCATTACGCAAGATTATGTCATAACTAAATATCTTAAAGAGTGCCTGTCCTGATGAATCCAAAAAAATCAGACATTTCTACTCAGAATGCACCAGATGCAAGTTGCAAAGAGAAGAGAATAATTGAATGTTTACCTGATCTCTAGCTCAAATATTTATGTGGTAGGATTATTGACTGATAAATTAAACTTGGCATGATTGTCGTTGTGTCATTATTCCCAAAGTTAGCAGAGCTTAAGCAGCAGAATGACCTAGATTATATCGGCCAGTCTTCAACGTGGTATATCAGATTGATATTAAGCAAACCTTCAAAGGTTATGTTTCGCATCGTCATTAGGTCTGGTTTATCGTTATATTTCCATGCATAACAATAGATTTGAGAGTCGTCAACTCCTGCCCGTTCGAGACACCGTAATACCATCACATTTGGAAGGTATTGCGCTGAGAGCATTATTAGAAGCGGTGTAAAAGGCCTCATGGCGCTTAAGGATGGCAGATGTTTTGAGACTCGCAATGAGCACTGTAAATACAGCTATTTTCAGAATGATGGTCTTCGTGTCCCCTCTTATATTTTTGTCCTTCCGTATGCCATGCAGCTTGCCGAAATTCGACGATACAGTTCAAGGTTAGTGTCGCCGTTTTTAGCCAACACAGTTTCAGCGTACCTTAAATAATACCTCTCTTCGTCGTAATACCATTCCATAATAGCCTCACGCTGCCGGTCAGGGCGGAAGTTCACATAAACTTTGTCTTTCTGGCGTTCTCTTGTAGTCCCTCTCCTAAAGCGACGTTGCACATGCTTCCAGTGGTTCACTTGTGGAGTAGCTCAACAGCACGACGTCATCGGGGTCGTTAGAAATGCGGTCAGGTATCTTGAACTGCTCGCTGATCTACGGTCAGTTCCAGAAAGACGCACTTCCCCAAAACTACTCCGCTATGATTATGAATAACAGAGGACGGAGGATTTACCTGACGAACTCCACTGAGAACCTGTCCGGGAGTGATCCTTCAATCCATCCCATTGGACGGCGAATGTAGAACCTCATACTTTTTGGAAAACCATAGTTATGAATAGTACGCCACATCGATGACTGCTCAGAAGTTCAGGAAAGTCGAAGGATGGTGAAACAATCGGCACTGCAGTTAGGACGGTAAGTTCATATTAAATAATGTGGATGGTTTCGTGAATACCATAATATAACTCAGTGAAAAATATATCCCTATTATCAACTTTGGGTGGTGACCTTATATTCCTGGTTACATGAATGCGTTAAAACTGTATTTTTCTTAGGTAGTAATAATGAGTGAGTTTGTCATACCTTGTACAGCGGCAAAAATTGGGACCAGTAGGTGGACATTTTCAGATCAGGAAGTTTACCGAGCGATATCCTTTTCCAAATCTTGGGGAAGATCACCTTGAGAAAAGGTATCAGCTTCCGTAGTGCCGCCTCTTTTTCATCGAAACGCGCCACTTGGCCTGGCCGACGTTTGGGTGCGGTGTATGTGAAAATTCTCTGATACCAATTCCATAGCTTGTCCTGAAAATTGCCTTTAAAATAAGCAGTTCCTCAATTCTCAACGAATCATATTTCGGTTTTATATTCCGTGATTTTCATTGAAAAGCACACATGATTTCTGTGATTTTTATATCATATTAAATTCATACAATCGATGCGCGGAATCATCTTATAGAAATGTTTGTCTAAAGCTTGTCATACTTCTGATTTTACTTGACATGCATTCGTATCACTAATAAGTCAGACATGAAAAGCTATATGCGCCATATTGACCGGAGTTATGCAGTGCGTAGGAGTTCAACTTTATGATCCAGACGCTCTGTAGTAAGGTTCATCTTGAGTTACTAGCTTTCATCTTTCTGAAGTAGATAAATGAGTACCACTTCATAGAAAGCAAGGAACAAGTTACGTACTGTAGGGAATACCATATTGTAGATATGGCATTAAACCTTATGAACGACTAGCTAATTTCTATTGATGGCACAGAAACTACAATTAGCGCACACCATAGGCGCCGTAAGACAAGGGTTTCTCAAACGATGCCTATCACGAAAGTGTAAGAGAGGCCGACATGTAAAAGGTTGTAAACTGTCCTTTTCGTTTTCTATGGCATACAGATGGTCGAAGTTTCTTGAGAAAGGCAAACACGTTGGCTCGGCTGTTCCAAATGCAGTTCTAATACAACGAAGAAGAAGCTGCGGAATTGGAAATTCTACGGAGCAGTCAAAAGAGAAAACGTCGTCGAGTGAAGGGCGACTGGCTACTTGCCCGTTATAAACATCGCATTATAAATATCAGATTAATATCTGAGCCGGCAAAGGTGATCACTCAGAATTAAGAAAATGACTTCTGCCTCGCGTTGATTACCCATTTGCCAAACCAGTGCTCGGCGTACGAACATAATCGTCTGAAACAGGGAAATATTACTGTCACGGGTGATCGTGCGCTGCATAATCTTCGTTATATAGTGTTCGGCCTGTGACGAAATAGGCAGATGATCATACTTCATCTGATGAGGCAAATCCATAGTGCAACTACAAGAAAAGCCGTATTCACCAGCTGTTAGTAGTGTCATTTTACTGTAAATGACCATCTTGCTGCTTTTGCCTTCAGAAAAGTATGTTTTCAACGCGATCTGTAAATGATTGCTTGATTTAATCTTTCTAGGATTGATTGACGCTCTTGCTCTATCTTTGCATCGCTGAAATACGGCATGTGATTACCCATATTGGCGTGCAGTGTCATTTTGTTTCATCATATCTGTCAATTTCAATCATTTCTGTCAATCATTATAACCGCTTATTTAAATTTTTCATCATATTAGTGATTGTTTTTAAAACAGTGAAAGTATAAATTTCATACCACAGCGTATGAAAGATTTGGGAACGCGGATTTGAGATCGTAATAAACTTTTGTTATATCATCCACTATTTCACTGTTCATCATTTCGTTCTTCAGATTTTGAAGCAGTTCTAAAATCGAATACTGTATAGTCTATTTAAGACCCTTTTAAATGGGTTCTGTAAATGTTTTTAACTGTGATAGAACTTACCTGGAATCTTGAGTTTCTCTACTTGACTCCTCATTTCCGTCATTTGCTGCTGTAATGACTTCTGGTATCGTTGGAGTAGGTCATTCAAGTTCAATGCACCAGCCTTAATGTCTTCAAGCAGCGTCTGTGCCAAGAGGTAAAGGTTTCGTACTTCAGATCTTAGCTAAATTAAAAATTGTCAGTGGGGTGATTAGGTTATGAAATAACTTTGTAAATGTTAAAAATTAAATATATTTTTCTATTATTGAACGAAATGCGCATTGATTAATGGTGTATTTAGTGTCATACTGTAATCCCTGAGGATTATGACACATGACACAAGACGGTGTTAATTTTGAATTAGCGTTATTTCAGGTACTTTGGCCTTTTCGAAAAGGAGAGGTTAAAATATTTCGCCGACTGAACAGAAAAACATGACTTGCACTTTTTGGCGGCAAACTTGTATTTTAGTGGGGTTTTCTAAGTCTTCATTCCATGTGTCACAACATGCAACTTCGAGAACGGCCTTTCTTGAGGTGATCGGGCCAAAAATTTAAACCAAAAATTTTCTAAGTGGCAGAAACGATGTTTAACCTTCCTTCACCAAGCCCTCTCTTCTACAGTAAGAAGACTGCCTGCATTTCGCAACAGGAAGAAATTCTTTCATCCATTACGCTGACGTTTTCGCATATGAGGTGTCGTTCAAGGCATATTTGGTTGCATTCATTGTAGGACCGACCATTTCAACGGCCAGGAATAGTTGACCCTCAATTTTTTTCTCAGTCTCACAGCCCTTCAATTTTATCAGGTAGTGAATCACAGTTGCTTGGTACATTGTCAAACAAGTAGACAGGGTTGCATTCACGAATGGCGACGTATGGGCTGCGGAAGTCCGGAAGGCCAGAACAAGAGCTGCCTGCAGTAATGGTCAAACAGCTGAGTCATTATGAAAGCTTGCTCTTTATCACTGCGTGTATGTGTCAACTCTTATCTACGGTAGTGAGTGGTGAATATGAGGAGCGGGAGGAGGTAGTGAGCTCCACGGTACAAACGGAAGAAACAAGGTCCTTTGAATGATTTACGGTGTAGCTGCATTCGACTATTCCAGAAGCACGACATACATTTCCGTTTCTGGCTACTCGTTCTCCAGAATTCGACGGATCACAAAGCTAATTGCTTGAATATATCATCAGGATGATAAGAAAGTCACACAAAAACCTCATATCGCTACATAATTCAATAAAGTACAAATCGAGGTTTTCGAATATGCTGCGAATATGACGTTTCCACGCCTCAGAATTCAGTTCATGGAATATGCCTTGCTGGCGAATGACCAGCTTCATTGGATTCTTCTGTTCAGTTATTGTCCAAGCCATCAGGATGAAGCAGTAAGCTGTGATAATGAACCGTTGAACGAGTGAGTAAATGAACAACTAAGTGAGAGAAAGAATCAAAGAACGAGGGAACGAATAAATGGTGAGTGAACAGACGAGTTAAATAGTGATCCCATTTATGAAAGAATGAGTGAATAAACGAATGAATGAACGAACGAAGAGCAGAAAGAAGAAAAGTATGGATTGGAGAAGAAGTAAACTATGCGGTTAACAAATGTATATTTGAATGAATGAATGAAAATACCATAGGACGTCTGAGAATAAACTGCATTTTGATGATATGTGAAAAAATATTTTCATATATTTAATCTTCAGCAAACAGTGTGCGTCGAGGAAAATGTCATATTTGTTGTTGCTCGTCAATTGGAGGTATTACACCAGTGATTAATACTGTGATAACCATATAAACTGTCAATGTAAAAGCAATCTCAGGCAGAACTGAAGACATTTGTAAAAATACTGCCATAAATACTCTAAAGCCTGAAAATGTATGATTTGCCATAAACGGAACGAGTCAGTACACAGCGGCACGCTGGTAATCAATTGGACCGATGTTTCTATCGTTGATCTAGCATTCGAAGCTGAGAATTATTTTTAGGCAGCCGATAAAAAAACCTAAGACAAGTTTTAGGCATTCTTGAGTGAAATAACCTATCACAAGTGAGGAACTCTGAAGATTAGATGGTCATGATGTCAGCATAGGATTAAGCATGTACTTCTGCAAGGATGAGATATTGAACTCAACTTCTCTTCAGAATGCATATCACTCTTGGTGTGAGGAAGTTGGTCTTTTCGTGAAACTCGATGATGACCTCAGCTTCATTCGCTTAATCGTTCAACTCGCCCTTGATAAGTATTGAAGTAAAGCCTAAATCTCCATGCATCAGGGGCACCGTTTTGATATTAAATCGATGGATATTGAATTGGTTCGTGCTTGGCGTCTTCAAACTAGAATAATCAAAAGAGGGGCAGCTACAGGTGACAAGTGAGTTACTGACTTCATCACAAACGGTAGTACCAGAACGCATCGACATCTGTGCGAAAATGAAAGCCTTTTGCACGCTGGAGGTGCAAGAAATATTGTAGAATTCAGGCAATCCATCAAATTCAAACATATCTCGTTAGCACATAGGGGAACTCGATTTTAGCACGCTCAAAAACTTCTCTTTCTAACAGTCACTATGCCGCCCTGTGCAGATACGTACTGAACTTAGAATTGTAATACGTGGCGCCTGCCAGAAATAACGACAGTAGAGCTCTGCCTTCAGTACCGTCTAGCATCACTTCTCAAGGTACATGGACGAAGCATTTCAGCCAACTTGCCTCGTCGATTGCAGGCAGTAGGACGATGCCTTCGCTGGAAGCTGAAGCGATTAGCGCGGCCAAATGCTCGTGATCGACAGCTAAACGAAACGCCCAGTTGTCATCAATTCGCCGCCGTTTGTCCAGGGCTGATGAACGGCTGGTTTGTGAGGCCTTCTGAAGCATGCCTTACTCATGTCAAGAGTTTTGCAAGTTTTGCAAACAAGTATTTGCCGGTCAAGCGTCTACATCTCCGTCATCGGGCGAGAACTGTTTCAAGGGCAATTTAGGCACAGACTGTGGCACCACTTCACGTGGCTATTTTTTTTGAATAACAAATTAACAAAAAATAACAATGCGAAGTTATTATGTTTTTTCTACATCGCTGTCTAATGGAATTTATAAACTTATACCGCGTTGTATATTCTCGTCGACAAATCAAGCGGCAGCAACGCAGCCAGGTCAGCCGATGAGAAATAGTCTTTGACCTCTCGATAAAATTCTTTAACTTTCGTCACCGATTCCTCGAACGTCTGCCCGTCTGCACCAAGTTCCTCTTGAATTTTTCTAAAATAATATTTTCCTGCCGTCTGTCGGAAATAAAAAATCATTCAACCTTATAACAATTATTTTCATTTATTATCTAAAATGCCTTAATTATGTGTTTTTTCGTCAATGTGCCATTTGAATCAAGGAACGGACAGGGGACAACTCTGCTGAAACTGATGATTTTCCAGCTAATCAACATTGACTAATGTAGCTTCGTTGAACGTAGGCTATTAAAAATTTTCTCGCCTGTCAACTGACTCCGTCTATAGCCATTGAAGCACTATTTGTATTAACAAGTACAGTCAACTTCTGAAGACCTTGGTTCACTCTTCATTCATGCATTTTTTTCATTCATTCATTTTCAGAATACCCCAAAAGCTGTATGAACAGGTTTGGGAAGCCTTTTGATTGCTGTTTGTTGCATTTTTAGAATCTATTGCACTCCCCAGTTGTCACTAGCAGATGGAAATGCGAAATCCTACTTAGGACTTTGGAAGTATGCAAATAAGATCAGGATATCGTGCATCAACCTCAAGAGTTAAGAGAATATAGGGGAACAACACATATCAGAATCCTATGTATTCCATGAAAATCCAATCCCGTTGATCGGAAATTTGCAAAACCTTTCACGATTTATGGTTATCAAGACAACATCGTGGAATGGCTTGACGAAACTTCATTAAAACGTTTAACCATAGAAACTGTTATAACATGATTGATAGATGAGTCATGTAATAATTTCGCTCAATCCAATAATACTCTCATATTCAATGCTCATTCTTCAAAACCAGATTGCTCCTGAAACGAGAAAAATTTTGTTGATTCCATGATGAAGCTCAGTGAAGAGGATAATATAATGGTGTTTAAATGTGGAAGATGATCAAAATGTGGGATTGGCAGGTGTTTAAGCGAATAGATTGGACGAAGCGGAGTAGTCTTGACGATATTAACGCTGCAGATCGCTTGACGAAATGTCAGAGTAAAGTTGGATATGAAGTATAAACAACAGAGCACTGCTTTTCTCAGACACCAACGGCAGAACCTAGGTTCTTTGATGACATGACGAGGTTCGAAAAGTTGGCAGAACGACTGTTTGAAATATCTCAAGGTACCGCCTATTCTCCAGGATGAGCGATCACTATTGCAATGATTTGCATATGCAATAAAATCGCCTGGTGAGACCTAGAATCACTCTCTTACCATAGCCGAGTAAAGGTTGTCCAGGGGCTGTCCGAGGACTGGATCGCTCGAACATACAGAAACCCTGGTACTATCGCCCCTGGAAACAGAAACACC